CTGCACAGTTTCTACATTTGGGGTCCTCTCAATTCTCAGCAGCTCTGCAAGCCTCAGGGGTGTGATTTTCTACCTTGCAGTCGTAGAGTTTACTACTGGGGTTTAGGATGTTGACAAACACTGCCTGGGAAGTCCTGGGAAAATCCATAATGAAAGTGTGAGGCAGAGACAGGCACCCAGACTCACAGTATCATCATTAATTCTACCTCTACCTTTTGAACCGGTTTTATTATGATTGGCATTACCGTGATAACAGAACTCAGGACTAGGCACAGGGGTGGTATTGTATTAAAATATATATATATTTTTAATTTCAGAGAGGAAGGGAGAGGGAGAGAGAGAGATAGAAACATCAATGATGAGAGAGAAGCATTGATTGGCTGCCTCCTGCACGCCCCACCCTGGACATGTGCCCTGACCAGGAATCGAACTGTAACCTCGTGGTTCATAGGGCCCCGCTCAACCACTGAGCAATGCCGATTGGGCAGGGATGGTATTTTAAATGCCTAAATTTTCAAAGTTAGCATTCAGAGAACATCATCATTGTAAGTTATTTCTTCTAATTCAAATAAAGGACTCTGCTCGGTAAAAAGGAGTTTCATCACATGCAGTCATTATTTAGACAGATTCTGTTCTAGAGTTTTGACTATAACACCAATTTAAATGTGAAACATTTAAGTAACAAAAATAGCTATTTTTCTCCAAAAAGTAATTAGGTTGTCTATTTTCTTCACTGAATTCATTGGACAGCATAAAAAGAGCTTATTAACAGGGGGTCAAGCAAGTTGTAAGTATCTGTCCTTAGAATGCTTTCACGTCATCATGGCTGCCAGGAAGATGACTGTGGCAGAATCCAGTGCATTGGGAAGGAGTGGACTGGAATGGAGAAGGACAACAGTGACACCATTCAAAGCCTTGCTTTGCTTCTGCAAAACTGTCACTCAAAAGGATAAACTATATTTCAAGATATTAGAACAGATAATATAGCTGATGTATGAGAAGGCCAGCGCAGTAGGTGAATGATGAGATTCAGGTGACTGTTGGTGCGAGCCCAGTGAGAAGGCAGGTAAAGTCTCAATGGGAGAGAAGCACTTTAAAAATCTCCTTACTTTGGTGGAGCACTTTCAGAGTTTTCTGCACACTTCTATGTATCTTATCTAAGTGGGACCTGAATTCCATGAGATTAAATATGATCTTTATTCTTTCAGTGCAAGTGAAAGATTTAGGGAGGTTATGTGACAACGATAATGAGAAAGGGGCAGAGATTCAAACTTGAGTCTTATTTCAGGTTTCGCACTCTGTTCACTGTCTTGTGCCTACTATGCAGAGTCCATTGGCGAGATTTAGGAAAAACTTAAAACATCTTGAGCTTGAGCTTTCTTGAGAGATGATTTATTTACAACTTATTCAATAAATTGCTTCCTGGAGTTCAGAGGAGTAAACATATGGACAGAACTCTTAAACCTCCTCGCCAAACGGGTCTCATTTTTCTTATTCACAAAACGGAAAGTTTGTCTAGATCTGTGCTTCTCAATATTAGCTTTGCATTGAAACCACTTTGGGAGATTTTAAACCTCCCTAAGTCCAGGGGCTACCTCCAGAGATTCTGATTCCATTAGCCTTGGGCAGAGGTGGGTTTACATTAAACAAACAAACAAACAAAAACAAAAGAAAACACTTTCCAGGTGATTCTAAGATGCAGCCAAGACGGAGAGTCACTGAGATGGAAGATGTGGGAGGCCTTCTTCCACGTGTCAGTGTGTTGCCAGGATTTATGCAATGCTCTGATGACCCACGAATTCTTCAGAAAGAAACTCACATTTTATTACTCATTTTCTCCTGTATTGGTTCCTGGCTAGAATTTAGATCTAGTTCTCACTGAAGAGATTGTGGAAACTGGAGCATTCTTCACCTGGACTATATGTCATCCAGTTAAAACTCTCTAAGGGATGTAGTAGTGTGAGAAGCGGCAGGCAGCCGCTCCTGCTAGTCCCGCCCTGCTGCGCCTGCCTGCCACCTTTGTGCTTGGTGGCGCTGCTGGGGAGGCGGGAGAGGCTCGCACTGCCACAGCTGTGCTTGCCAGCCATGAGCCCCGCATCTGGTGCCCGAAGGTCAGCTGAGAGGAGCTCCCACTGTGGGAGTGCACTAACCACCAGGGGGCAGCTCCCGCATTGAGCATCTGCCCCCTGGTGGTCAGTGCACGTCATAGCGACTGATCGACTGGTTGTTTGGTCATTTGGTTGTTCGGTCGCTAAGGCTTTTATGTATATAGATACTTATTGAATTTTAAATAATAGCAGGAAGTGAACATTTTATCTCAATACTTTAAAAGATGCAGCATTATACTCATCTTTTAAAATTTTATTAAATTTATTGGCATGACACTGGTTAATAGATTACATAGGTTTCTTGTGTGTAATTCTAAAATACATTATCTTTATATTGCATTGTGTGCTTACCACACACAGTGTAATCTCCCTCCATCACCGTATGATTGGCCCCCTTTCCCTCATCTTTTTAAAGGGACAATAATATTGCTGAACTGATCATTTTATAGATAAAACTCCACAGCCTGGAAACAGTACAGTTACAAGTCTCAGCTAAACAGACGTACTTTCTTCAATGCTCGGTTACTTTCCTCATCACTTCATTGGTCACTGAACTATCTTTTTTCTGTTTCACAGTCATCTTCTCAGAGGGTTGCCTGACCTTGGATTAAACACTTGAGTTGCCACAGGTTGGTGTTGGGGGTGACCTTTTAGTGGAACTTTCAGTACAGAGAAGTAAAGCAGAATATCATGTTCCCAGTAAGGTAAAATGTCACCATCCTTTTCCAAGTCACTAAGAGGTCAGAGGTAATGCCTTCCAAGCAGACTCACCTAACCAGGGCCCTCTTAAACTCTGGAATAAGATCAATTTGCTTCTTTCACAGACACTTGCTTCTCTAGTGGCTGTTTCTTTATTGAAAAGCATAGACTAGAGGGGAGAAAAATGATGAGAGAAAGTACCAAGAGATGCAATAAAAGGGAATAAAATATAATGTTTCAGATGGCAGGGTTTCTAGGTGCTTTGGTAATTTCTCTTCATCCTTTATTCTCCAGGATTCCAGAGATAAATATAGGGAAATTTATTATTTCCACATTATTCCTACTAACTAAACCTACTTTGTCATTCTTAAGTTGAATTAAGCAAAATCATGATTTGCCACTCTAATAAAAAGAAATTATACCGGTTAGAGACATTCAGTGGTATTGAACTAATAAATAATCTGTCCTTGGAAAAATCATTTATATTTTCTGTGCCTCAGCTTACTCACCTAGCACTGATAATCTCTAGAGTCCCTGTTAAGTCCTACAAGCTTATGATTCCATGGATTTTCTAAGGAAAAGGAGAAACATATTTTCCCTTCAGCAGGCAGGCCTTTATGATTTGTATTATCATAACTGCAAAGTGAGATGCAGTGTTTATCTTTGATATAAGTCTTTGTATTGGATTACATAAGTGAGTTTTTATAAAATAAATGTTTATAAAAACAAATTCTTTTAAAAAAGCGAATGTTTACAAAAATAAATTCTTCCATTGATTGTCTCCCTGCATTACCTTCCGTTGTTAGCTTTCTTCTCAATAGATGGTGCTGTTTTCTCAGAGACGCTACTTACTCCTCATCAAAAGATCAGGGAAATTAGTATCACTCTTTAATAATCATTAATTAAAGAAACCAGCCCTCTAAGTAGAAAGACTCGATTACAAGCAGCATGCAGTACCTAGATAACGAAAGCATAATGGGGAAAATAAGCTGGTAAGTGATAAAGGAGGCCTGCTGAAACCTGCAATATTTGCTGAGTAGATGGAGCAAATATTGTAGCCAAACATGAAAATTCCATGTTCATTACATACATACAACACATAGGACCCCGAGTAGGAAGAAAATCTTAAATCAAGAACCATTTTAAAGTGTAAAAACAGTGATCTGCTTTAACAAAAGTGAATCTGTAGCATTCCGTATTAACATGCATGATTTGAACACATGCATCAACACTAATACAATCGACCTCGATCTCAGTGAATCTTGAGAGCTGGCACACTCTGTGCCAACTCAGCCGGGAGCACCTGGGAAACAGAAAATGGACCTCAAACTCTTTCGAAAAAATATCCCTGGATAAAACCACTTTTCATCTCTGAAGAGAAAACCATTACAACATCCTATGTAATCGCATCTCATCCAGATTCACGCTGCTTTTGGTCACTTCTAACTGGCTGCCCTTTGGAAGCCCTGAAACAGACGTATCCTGCACTTTTCCTGAACCCAGTTCAGCTCTGACTGAATCAGCCCCCAGCAGATCCGCAGCTGCTGATCGAAACCTGGCAACACAACTGTCCTATTTGTTACAACAAAGCAACACTGTGGAGAGACACAGGGAAACTCACTCTATGAGTGTGGCTGCAGGTAGAAGGAGTGGGGTAAGGGCTGCTATGAGGAGGGAGGCAGGGTGGGGACATGGTGCAGCTGGCTCTACAGAAGCCAGCATGAGCAGGGAAGTTGCCAAGGTTCATCTCTGGAAAGGACTGAGTAGGGCACCTGGCCCCCCAATTAGAGGAAATAAACTAGAATTCTTCCTCCATTACTCACAAATTACTGTTTCCAGAGCTTCTGCCTGAAGAAACTGTGGGAGTGTGCCCAAGAGCCCTCTTGGCTCAGATTAAGGGTGCTCCAAGCTATTTATTTTTTATTTTTTTGGCTAGAGCTTCATAGCTTTTACCAAAGCAACTTCTCTGTTTCTGAAATTTTGGATGTTTCTTTATCAGTGGGGGCGAGGGGGGGGGAATAGAAAAGTAGGCTTTTGCACTCAAACAACCACCCAACTGTTGCCCCCCATTCTCCCCTGTTTACCCCCCTTTTCTCATCTTCCCACCAAACACTCCACCTTGGGTCTCAGGTGTCCCTTTGTGCCCCCCTTAGCAGCTAAAAGCTCCGTTCGGAGCTCGGACGCCTTTCTTACCTGACAATCACATACATGACCAGGAAGTTTCCGAAGAGACCCACCACGCACACGATGGAGTAGAGGGCCATGATGGTGACGGCCGTGATCGTGGAAGGGCTGCTGGTCGGAGGGCACAGGCTGTCGCTCCCGCTCAGCGCCGTGCGGTTCGGACCGCACGGGTCGGACAGGTTGCCATCCATGTGGGAGAAGTTGACCCAGGACCCCGGGTTCGGTGCCGCTGGGGCGCAACTTGCAGAGTGCGCGAAGGGGTCAGAGCAGTTGCCGGGGCTCCTGGGGACGGCGCCGCTGTCCATGGTGCTGACCGCCGGCTGGGACCACGTTGGGAGGTTCACCGCGAGCGCAGGCACTTTTCAGGAGCCGCGCGCGCCTTAGCAGCTTCCTCCAGCCGCTGCCAGCTCCGGCGATTCCTGACGGAGCCCAGCCCTGGCGAATCCAGGCAGGAGCATCAGGCAGAAGGGGAGAACTGAGCCTCTGGCGTTCTCCTCTGCTGGCAGCCCTCTCCCACCTCATGAGCACGGGCGCTAGTCCCCAGCCCCACACCGCTGGAGGGAGGGGGAGGGAGGGCAGTGCGGGATCCAGAGGCTGGAGGAGAAAGAGGGGAGAGAAGGGGTGGATTTTGCGCACAAGCGATCCAAGGAGTTGTTCTCTCCACTCGGCACTCTGTGCAACACCTCTTAGGAGGGGCAGGACAGAGAAGGGAGTTGGAAGGAAGGCGTGGAGAGTGAGGCGTGGAGACAGAGAGTTTCTGACGGCGGAAAAGCACAAGAAAGGGGGCTGACATCACTCTATTTTCCCAGCACCGGTTGGTTTCTCTGTAGACATTGGTCTCAGACAACTGGAGCAGCCCTTAACTCCCCAGCCGCTTCCATCCCTACTGCCTATCGCAATCATTCCGGTGCAGGGGACACAAATCCCTCTTCTCTAGTCTTCCTTCCTGCACATGCACGAACTGGTAACTGCGCTTTTCACATCACCAAATGGGAATTTCAACCCTGCAAACCTGCCTGAAGCCAGAGTGCTTCTTCCTCCGAAAAAGAAATGAGAAACATGTAATAAACTTCTGTGAAGGAAACCCATTACGTTTCCTCCTTGGTGCCTAGGTTTCTCCTAGAGTAGAAGCTCTAGTTGCATCTGATTTATGTTGGGTGGGGAAGAGGCACCAGGGCTGGTTCCAGAAATCAGGGGGGTGGTTGTGGCATCCAGGAAAGTCAACCAAAAATAATGCTTACCCTCTGAGGCTTAAATCTCACGCTCCATCTGGAATTATCCACTTTACCTCCAGACCGTCTGTAGGGCCACGTGCTTCTCAGGAGAACCGTGTCAAAAACCACACGGCATTTGAGTTCACTCGGCCTGTTTTCTTGTGTGGAGATCCCAGGAGGAACCTCATAGATATCTTAACTGGAGTGGCCCACGCTTGGTCGAGGAATACTGGTACACTTTAACATGTGATACCTCATTTCCAAGTCCATAAACACTTCTATCTTGGAAATAGATTTGTAAATCAATCAGGGGTAAGGTGGCTGTTTTTATTTTTTGTGAAGTTCAAACTAATTCTGAGCTTATTCTCGATTTTGCACATGTGTATATTTGTGTGTGTATATATATCGGAACAAGAAGTATTGGCACTAACTGCTACAGATCACTCCCGATTGGTTGTAGAATGTCACACTCTTAGGAAGCAGAGTGGGTGCGTTAGGAAGCTTGGAAGGAACGTTTAATTCTAATATCACTTTTATCATTCTCTTGAAAACAGATAACCCATAGGTAAACTCTGCTTATCATAGGGTATTTTACCAATGTGCAGTATTTTTTTATCCTTTTATATTAAAGGGAATGCCTTCAGCAACAAAAGTCTACAGAGAGCTCCTAGAAACTAGTAAAATACCTGGCCACATTTTGCTCTAGGAACTAATATAGTTCACTCGCATTGAGCTGAAATCTGTCTGCCATTGTTCAGTCTTTTGAGGACACACAGAACCAGACTAAGCTACATCATGTGAACAACAAACGGGTACAACATAAATAGCCCTGGCCTTGGAGTTAAATCATTGGTGAATAATCTAAGATGTGCTACTTTTTAGCTATTTGAGTTTGCGTGTGTTTATTTACCTCACTGGGGGACAGTTTTTTTTATCAGTAAAAAAAGAAATTGATAACTCATATATCTGTTAGCAGGATTAACTGATATACACATTGGAATAGTAGCTGTTTAATAAATGATAACTGTTATTATTATTACATTTTATGTATCTGAAAATAATAAAATGGTTTCTTCCACAAGTTAAACATTAGCTTCCTTAGGCTATTTCTTTTTAAAAAATATATATTTTATTGATTTTCTACAGAGAGGAAGGGAGAGAGCTAGAGAGCCAGAAACATCGATGAAAGAGAAACATTGATCAGCTGCCTCCTGCACATCCCCCACTGGGGATGCGCCCGTAACCCAGGCACATGCACTTGACCGAAATCGAACTTGGGACCTTTCAGTACACAGGCCAATGCTCTATCCACTGAGCCAAACTGGTTTCGGCTTAGGCTATTTCTTATACACTGTAGTTTTGGGTTCTTTCAATAGCTTTGCCTCTTTTCTATTCACATGGCTTTTCTATCTGCTCCTACAGTACAGCTCCAGAGCTAAGAACAGTGCCCTAAGTTAGGCCTGAGGAATAAAAACTGAGCAAGATTATAAACTTCCTCTTTCTAACAATACAGTTATTGGAAGGTCCCACTTCCCCTCCCCCCTTTTAAAGCCACATTGCTCTCTTGACTCTCCTTAGAGTGAGTATTGGCAAAATTCCCTAAACATGATCTGGCTCAGTTTGACAATTACTTATTAAAGATGTGCTCTGGACAAGGTGTTGAAGTTTGAAATGATAGATTCAATTGTTTTTGAACACAGTTGCTTGCTTTTTATACTGATGAGTCATGTTTTTCCTCTCCTATACATTTATGGTTGTTTTGAGTTTGGGTGTGTTTATTTGCCTCACTGGGTGTTGTCTCAGTACAACAGTAGAGGGTCTTTTATTTTAAAAGTATATCTTGTTAGATGCAGTTCACGGTTCAAATCTAGCGAGATCTTTTGGAATGGTGATTGTCATCTTTTCTGTGCATGCTTCCTACTTTATATGTTTTATTTACCTCCCCTGCTTTATATACTCGAGAAATAGGTTCCTGAGGGTAGGCCTGTTCACTACTTAAAGCACAGTGGACTCCCTCTTATGTATGTAATTACATATCTAATATTTTAATTTAATTAACACATAATTAGCATATATTAAAATGAGCGCTATCGACTGAATGTTTGTATCCCCCCCCCAAATATATAAGTTGAAATTCTAACTTCCAATGTGATGGCATTAGGAGAACCCCCCCCCCCCCCAATTAGGGGGTCTTTGGGAGGTAATTAGGTCATGAAGGTAGAGATTTCATGAATGGAACTGTTTTCCTTAGAAAAGAAACTCCAGAAAACTCTCCAGCTCTCTTTCCACTGAGGGTTAATGCTAAGAGAGCAGTCTACAACCCAGAAGAGAGTCCATACCAGAATCAGATGGTGCTAGCAGACATCTAGTCTCCAGACTTTGAGATATAACTTTCTGTGGCTTTTAAGCTACTCAGTTTATGACATTTTGTTATAGAAGCCTGGACTGACTAAGATAATAACATCATCTAAAATAACCTGGGTGATTTAAAAAACAAAACACTTTTAGGAATACTTTAATAACATTTTAAAAAACCAGTATATTCCATTAATCAGCCAGAACTTAAATGTTCCCACGGATAGACTGGCCGTGTGGCTTTTCCTCTAGAATTAGTCAAAGAGCAGCCAATTACCATTGCCCTTTACTGGAAACATTATTTTTCATTCTATTTTATAACAAAAACTATTGTATGGATTAGGCATTTGAACTTTGTGCTTCAACTATATATTTTAACTGAAATGTGATGATTTCTTTTTCTATTACCCTTTCTTGAGTTTTATTAAGGATAACTATTTCTCAATTTTCAATGCAGGATTTTCTGGAATCCTTGCAAGTATTCGCTTAAATTGCACTAACATCTATATCTCAGTAACTCACATCTATTCAATGTACAATTTGGGAAAATACAGAACAAATTTAATTTCTCTTTCAAATATCTTAAGATAGCCTTGAGAAACCCAGGGAAGAGCTGTTATAGAAATAGCCAATTAATATCACTTAATATATACTATAAAAGATCTCAAATTGTAGCTTCTATTACATCTTAATTGCCCTATCGGGTGTTTTCCCTTTTCTCCATATTTGCACATTTCCTACCAGAGTGATCTCAAGTCTGCTGTGAAATCTCGGGGCTCTTGTGAAAGGAGGTGAACTGTGCATACATGAGTCAATTTACTACAAGCCTAGTTATTTTATGTAAAATAGATTCTTGCTGTATAATGTTTAATTTCCTTTATATGTTATCTAACAGAAATACATGCCTTTTTTGATAATTCTTGCTTAGCCTAGATTTTCTATTTGAAAAGCAAAACAAAATATCTGTCAGTCAAAATTTAACATTGATATCAAACCCATATCATACATTTTTCCCCCATAAAATATTTGCTTCAAAACAGTGCAGTTAGTTATAACTAGCATGGAGCAAGGCAACTGCTAGAAGTTATTGCTCTTTCTTAAATTTCAAAACATATTGGCTTTAGTTATTCATGTAATTGCCATCATCTCACACTCATTTTGACAGCTTACTTTTTAAAAAAAAATCCTCACCCAAGGAGTGAGGATATTTTTCCCCCATTGATTTTTTGAGAGAGCGGAAGGGAGAAGTGAGGGGTAGAAAGAAAAACATTGATGTGAAACAGGCACATCGATTGGTTGCCTCCCACATGTACCCCCACTGAGGATGGGAATCGAACCTGAAACCCAGGTATGTGCCCTTGACTGGGAATCAAACCCACGACCCTCCCGGTGTGCAGACCAATGCTCTAACCACAGAGAAACAGCTTACTATTTTTTTTATTTGTTTGTTTATTTATTTATTTTGAGACTGGCTCTTAATGGACCACATAATTAACAGCTATTAATGTGGAATATAGCCAATGACTGTATCTATTTATTTAAAAGTTACCAAAAATTTTTTTTTGAAAAGAAAACATTGTTATAAAGTAGTCTACACATGGTTAGAAAGGAAAACTAAAGCAATTATAAAAGTTATTGTGGTCAGAGTATGTTTTACTTTTTCTTGTATCCATATAATTGAGACCTGTTACTTAAATTCAAATTGCTTGGCCTTAAGTTGTCTGTGTGTATGACCATGCATAAATGAATGCACACACACATGCACACACTTAAGCATACATCCATCAAGTAGTTTATATTCATATTGAAAAACCACACTTTTGTGAAATCATCTATTG